ATGACTCTATCACGAATCTGGAAAGAAGGAACTGAGAGATGAAGCATGTTCATGGGAGGCTCAGCAGCTGAAGAGGCATATAGGGTCAGGGCTGGGGAAGGTCCAGATGAGGAAACAGCCTGGGCCTGAGGAAACAGCCTGGGCCTGAGGAAACAGAGGAAGCTGGTTGGTGGGGAAAGCAGAGGAACGCATGGCAGACACAGAGTGTGCCTGGTCCTGCTGACTTTCCAGTTTCTACTGGATTGGCAGGAGGCCTGACTGTGCTGTGGTTCTCACCCTTCGATTTCTATGAGCTTCCTCTTCCGGCTTTATAAAAAGCCGGCTAGCTCTTTCTTTTTTTTTTTTTTTTTTTTTTTTTTTTTTTTTTTTTTTTTTTTTTTTTTTTTTTTTTTTTTTTTTTTTTTTTTTTTAACCTGTACGCGGGCCTCTCAGTGTTGCGGCCTCTCCCGTTGCGGAGCACAGGCTCCGGACGCGCAGGCTCAGCGGCCATGGCTCCCGGGCCCAGCCGCTCCGCGGCATGTGGGATCTTCCCGGACCGGGGCACGAACCCGCGTCCCCTGCATTGGCAGGTGGACTCTCAACCACTGCGCCACCAGGGAAGCCCCTAGCTCTTTCCTGAGCTCGCGTGAGGGTGCCTCGTTTCCTCAGAGAGCATTGCCCCTCTTTAATGCCAAGAAGTGGAGGACAATGTGATATGTGAGGGTAGAATTTTCTGTCACCAGGAATCTTTTGAAAGGAAAGAAGGTGCTAGTAACTGCTCCGGGATAACAGGTGTAATAAATAAGCCAGAACTGTCACAGGCAACGTATCCAGTGCCCTATAGCTGTAAAGGTAATTCGATACTCACCACCATCCATTTCAAAATTGACACAGTCTCAGTTTCCTTGACTAGAAAATAACAGATTAAGTGATGCCTAAGGTTTTTTTTTAAATCTAAGATTCTATGTCTTCTTAACTCTGAAAAGAGACAGCTAAGGAGATGAGGTAGCCGGGCAAGAACGAGCCCAACTTTAAGATTACATATACTTGATTGTCTTTACATAAACAACAATGAAGATGTTCTACTCATTTGACTTTAAAAAAGACCCCACATATTCACCAATCAATGTTATTTGGTTAAATTATCAGTGATCATATTTTATTTCTTGAGGCACTAGAACAACTCCAAAGTTGCTTTGGCTCTCGATGGAGGCCAGCTGGTACCTGCCCAGAGCCTCAGGTTCTGGCAAAAGGGTAAGGGAATCTGTCCCGTTTGTCTCATCGCTGAGACCTAAGGCTATCGTTCTTCCTTGGTCTGTGAATAGGAAGCAAAGTGTCAACAGTCTCTTGCCCTCTCACTGCTTCCCTTGCCAGCCCATCTCTTATTAGCCAGCCCTGACTTTGGCCAGCTCTGTGTCCTAATTTCTGGGAGACGTTTAAACCGTCAACAAGCCTAAAGGCAAATTTAATATCCTGAGCTGCAGAGTTGTTCTCAAGCACAGGTTGTATGCCTGTGTCATAGAATCTCAGAAATTTGAAGCTAGAAGGAACTTTACTATATAAGCTTCAGTTCCTAGATGAGAAACGAATAGCTGGAAACAATAACAAATGTTTACTGTTGTCTGTACAAATATGTTGCCTATACAAATAACAATAACAAAGTCAGGTGCTTGGGAGGGACTGTGCTATATGCTTTCCATCAATCCTTTTATTTCATTCTTGCACCAACCCAAAGGTAGGCATTCTTATTACCCCCATTTTCAAGATGAGGAACCTAAGGGTTTGAGAGGTTCAATACTTTGCTACTTGGCTTGTCCAGTGTAATCCAAGTATTTGTTAGTGACAGAAAAAGGAGTTTTAACCAAGTTCTGCTGATTCTTGGGACACTGTTCTTTCAAGTAAAACGAACAAAAGTGAGGCAGCAGGCTTTTTAGCTACCTACCATGTACCAGGCACTACACTAGGTGCCAGAACAATTAGCAGGGTTACCAGATGAAAGGTCACATTAAAATCCTGCCCTTCCAGGTTCTAGGGAGGAAAAGAGATTGCTAGGTCTCTGCAAAGCTCTGTCTTCAGGGAGGTTAAAATGCTCGACAGAGACGGCCTGGTTAATGCTCAGAGTATCCCCCAGGATGTGGGTGTGGGCCAAGGAGGGAAGCATTACTCTGCCTCTTCTGCAATTGAGAAAAGTAAAGAGAAACAATTACAGGGCTTGCCCAATGCAAGGCATAATATAACAAGCCAAGAATGGAACCAAACTGTCTTGGTTCCTTCCACTCTATTCAATGGCCAAAATTAAAATCTCCCTTCAATCACCCCTGGCTACTGTGGGATCAAAGATAATTACCACATGAGACAAATTCTTCTAATAGGAAATATGTTACTAAGCTTCTCACAATTAACCCAACCTACTCATTTGATTTTCATCCTTTTTCTCTCTTCTCTTTTTGATGTAGACAAGACAGGACACAGTCTTCAAATGAAAAAATTAAGAACTGGGAGTATCAGAGTGGATTATATTAAAAGTATATTAAAGTCAAATTATGAATGAATTTTCCATAACAACATTAATGGAAAGAATGATGGCAGCCATAACTGATCACCTATTCCGTGCCTGATACTGTGCTCAGATTACCTCACTCAGTCTCACAACAGCACACACAGAGGCAGATCCTGGGTTTGTGTGAAGCTTATACATGGTGTGGAGGCCCTCCCTAAGAAAAGAAAATTTTGGATACAGAATTAGGTAGAAGGCTTTGGAAGGGCCTGTGCAAGCGAGGGACCCAAAGCTTGAGCTTTGTGAGCTTCATGGTAAATGCACCGCTGTGCCCAAGATGGCTAACATCCTCACTTCTCCAAGGAATGAAATTGAGGCTCAGAGAAGTAACTTGCCCAAAGTCAAAAGACTTGGAAATGTCAGGGCTAGGACTTGAACATAGGGTGCCTGACCTCAAATCGCATGTATTTTTTCTTTGCTTACGTGCCTTCTAACGAAAATAAAACTGTTATCATTTACAAATAACTATACATACTAACTATACCCCATGAAAAGTACACTCATGTTCTCTAATAATTCTTATAGTCCTTCTATCTCCGGGAGTTGTTATTATCCCCATTTACAGATGGAAAAACCTAAAATCAAGAAAGGTTAAGCACCAGCCAAAGGTAACCTAGCTAGTACACAGTGGAGCCAGGATTCATGCCTACGAATTG